TCGACTCGCCGAGTCGAAGTTTGATCGAAGTTTCGACTCCGGAGTCGAAGTTTGATCGAAGTTTCGATCGCGAGTCGAAGTTTAATCGAACTTTCGACTCCGGAGTCGAAACTTCGATCAAACTTCGACTCGGCGAGTCGAAGTTTGATCGAAGTTTCGACCAAACTCCGACTCAGCGAATCGAAGTTTAGTCGAAGTTTCGACTAAACTTCGATTCGCTGAGTCGGAGTTTAGTCGAAACTTCGACTAAACTTCGATTCTTTCGGTGGCGGATTTTCCCCGGGAGCTGAACATTTTCAGCTCCCGGTGAAAAAGACACCACCGATGGAGTCGAAGTTTGATCGAAGTTTCGACTAAATTCCGACTCAGCGAGTCGAAGTTTAGTCGGAGTTTCGACTAAACTTCGATTCGCGGAATCGGAGTTTAGTCGAAACTTCGTCTGAATTTCGATTCCAAGCCCAAGTCCTCTGATAGCGCTTTCGGCGCCGGGCACATATTTTTCAGTGCCCGTCACCGGAAACCCACCATCCGCCACCACACGCCACCACCCACCACCCACCACCAACACAACCCAGCCCAACCACCCAACCCACCACGACATACCACCACCGACCACCATCACCACCCACCACCGCCGCCGTCACCACTACCACCACCACCACCACCACCACCACCACCGCCACCACCGCTCGCCAATCGCCACGCCACCCGCCAGCCGCCAGCCGCCAGCCGCCGCCCGCCACCCACCACCCACCACACCACCACCACACACGCCACACGCCACACACCAACCACAAAGCACCACCCACCACCCACCACCCACCACCCACGGCCCACCACCCACCACCCACCACCCACCACCCACCACCCACCACCCACCCCCACCACCCACCACCCACCAGCCACCACCCACCACCCACCACCCACCCCACCCAGAAAACCACCTACCACCACCCACCACCCACCACCCTCCACCCACCACCCACCACCCAACCACCATGCACCCACCCACCACCCGCCACCCCCCACCCCACCACCCGCCGCCCGCCCTCCCTGCCACCGCCACCGCCACCACCGCCGCCACCGCCGCCACCGCCACCACCACCACCACCACCACCAACACCACCACCACCACCTGTATATGTATGCTGTATGCATGTACGTATGTATGTATGTATGTATGTATGTGTGTGTGTGTGTGTATGTATCAATATCAACCCAACCTGCCAAACCCTTGAACCGCCCAAATGTTAAACCCATAACAGTCCTGGAGCTCCTAAACTCCTAAATCCACGTAATCGGAACTTCTGAAGCCCTAAACCCTTGAACACCTAGAACCTCCAACACCTAAGTCCCCAACCCCTAACCCCGAGGCCCAAGCCGTCTTTAGGGTGCTGGTGTTTTTTCTTAAACAACAAGGGAACGCTAAGGGTTTATTTAGGGAGTTTAAGGTTTTTTTCCGAAGCTATAGATTAGGGTTTTTCCTAAACCGAAAAGGGTAAAATAATGCGAAAAGTTGTTTTCTGCAACTTTAGGTTTTCTTCCTAAACGAAAAAGGGTAAGGGAAACCGCCAGGCTTCGGGTTTAGGGTTTTTCTTTCCGAGAGCTAGCACACCTAAGAGTCAGCAGGAAGCCGAAGGCTCCTTGAGGAGATATACAAAAAAGATTAAGCCAGAGGCTCCTGCCAATAGAAAGTTATCCCTTGCAGTCCTCCCAGCCCAAAGGTTTTGTTCACAAGATCTGTATCATGCGAAGAGGAGGGTCGAAGCGAAACGCCGGTGGCCTTGCTTCACACGTGCTCCCTCCAACACCCGAGCCTTCGAAGCTGGGGCCCCATTTGCTACGATCTTTCGCTGGTGGAGGATGTGTGCCAGAATTACAGACGGTGGCTGGTGACCGGGGGAAGAAGGCGTGCCGAAAGAACACGTCAAGCCTGAAATCTCGATGTTGGCCGGGCAATGTCCCGGCAATCTCAGACGGGACTTGCTTCGCCACACTGGGATGCCGACACTTACTAGCCACGCCGTCTGTGTGCCAATCAAGAAGGGGCAGGCGAGAAACCCATGGGATGTTTTCAGAACAATGCAGCAGCAACATGCTAGGATCTTCCAGGAGCTCGTCTGCAGAAGTGCTGCCGATGTTCGTGGCTTCTGGAAGGAAGTCTGGGGCCACCCAGTCCTGGTAGACCACCCAGACCCAACGATCGAAGCAAATCCATAACTACCAAATCCGGGCTATCCCGGACCGTGGCGATGGTGTGCCGATCCAATCGAAGGACAGGTCTTGTGCATTCATCTTTTGGAGAAGCCCGCTCTCGTCAATGTCCTCCTCAGAGCTGACCCATGTGGTTTGGACTGAGCCGGTTTTGGTGTAACTTGTGGCAGCATTGTGGCCATCCTCTGGCGACACGTTGTTCGGCGTTTGAACGAGCCTTCGAAGCTTGCAAGACGAACAGTGAGCTTTTCCCGGTGCTCCTCTACCTGCTTAATACTCCAGGCAT